GAGAGAGAGAGAGAGAGAGAGAGAGAGAGAGAGAGAGCGCCAAAGTTCAAAGCAGTCCAGACTAGTCATAAGTTTAACAATCACAGTAAGCTATCTAGGTTAGGTGCAGACATGTATTTAATTATTTATTTGGCAGACAATGCCCACAGTGGGCAACTCAAACCCTACTACCCCCAATTCTCTCAAAAAGTCTTGGGCTTCTTGAAGAAACAGGCTCAAGGTTTGGTGAGACAAACAGCAACTCCCTGTGTAGACAGCAAGAAGGCTAAAGGGAAGAGTGACACTGGAATTATCTTAAAGGAAGCAGGTGGGCAAAGGGCACCTAGAGAGGGAGCACCACATGTGCAATGGCACTGAGGCAGGACAGTGCCAAGAGTGAGGATTCATAAAGTCTTGGATGCCTGCCAGGAAATATAACTGGAAGGATTACTTGGGGTTTATAAGTAATGTGGGAATTGGCTGTAGTCAATAGTGCCATTCCCAAAGACATTCAAGGCAGAGGAGGTAAAATCTTTTTCTTTTTTTGTTGGTCCTGCTTTACCACTGAGCCACATCCACAGCCCTTTTATTTTGAGATAGAGTCCTGATAAGTTGCTGAGGCTGGCCTCAAACTTGTAAGAGGAGCAGAATCTAAAATGGGGCTCTTAGGCTGGGGCTATAGCTCAGTTGTTAGAATGCTTGCCTCACATGCACAAGGTCCTGGATTCAATCCCCGGCACTACACATAAACACACAAAAACTACTTTAAAAATGGGCTTCTTGATACTCTTTTCCTCAGGTCTTACCCATCTTAGCTGAAATTGCTGGAGTCACCTCTCAATCCCACTTTTAATATTATTAAATCCTATTGGCTTAGCCTTTCAAACTACACATCTAGAATCTAATTAGCCTTACTGCCACCTTCCTTGTCCAAGTCACTACTGTTTTTAGCCTAGATTAGAGCAATGGTCAATTGATCCCCCCCTGCTTCTGTTCTGTTCCCTCAATCTCTTCACAACATGGTAGCCAAGGTGGTTCTATTAAAACTTACCAGAATGTGAATCCTGGATATCCCTCAAAGGCCCATGTGTTGAAGGCTTGGTCCCCAGCCCTCGGTCCTATTGGAAGGTGGTATAACCTTTAGGAGGTAGGGCCTAGTGAAATGAAGGAAGGTCACTGGGGGGTGCCCTTGAATGGAGTTTTGGGACCATAGTCCCTTCCTTTCTATCTCCTTTTGTTTCCTATCTGTCATGAGGAGAGCAGCTTTGCTTTACTATATACATCTTTATCTTGATATTCTGCTTCACATAGGTCCAAAAGCAATAGAACTGATCATGAACTGAAACCATAAGCTAAAATAAATCTTTCCTCCCTTTAGTTGTTTATCTTGGGTATTATGTCATAGTGATTGAAAGCTGATCATCTGGGTCAGACCATTTCTCTCCTCCATATAAACCTTCCAAAGGCTTCTCATTTCATTCAGAATAAAAAAAAATCAAAGACCTGGGGGCTGGGGTTGTAGCTCAGTGGTAGAGCGCTCACCTAGCATGTGTGAGACCCTGAGTTCGATCCTCTGCACCACATAAAAATAAATAAAGGTATTGTGTCCAACTACAACTAAAAAGTAAAATATTAAATAAAGTAAAATAAAAGGCCTAACAGTGGCTTACTCATAAGACCTGAATACATGATCTGAGGGCTCCTCTAAAATTTTCCTTTTGATCTTTTCCCCTATTGAGGTCCCTCCCCTGCCTATTCTGTTCTGGCCAGAAGAAGATTGGAGAGAGGTTCATGAGAAGAGATGGGAGCTGCTGTGCAGGAGGGCCTGATGGCCAGGCAAGGAAAGGCAGTGATGATGAGGCAGGGCTTGGCCTCATTATGGTCAGTGGTCTTGGGATGGACTAATCTGTGCTCACTCTTCTGGCTGAAGATCATATTGGGCAATTTGTGTGCCTGGGCTTCTCCTCTGGGCCATCTGGATCCCTTCCTAAACTCCATCGGTACTTCTTAGCTGGAAGAGCAGCCTCTAATCCTGGATGTCCCTGACCAGGGCAACCAAGGCAAGGATGCCTTCTCTGGCATATGTATCTCCAAATACCCAGTTCTCATTCCCTCATCCTTTTATTTATCCCTTGAATGCTTTCATATGGGATCAATGGTTGGAACACAATTTCTAGTGGCTCAGTGCAGGGTGCAGCTTGCCGTGATAAGTCTTGGATGGGTTCTATTTTCACAGGCACAGCAAGCTAATTCCTCTGGCCATCTTCCTTTTTTTTTTTTTTTTTTTTTTTTTTTTTTTGGGGACACAACATCTTTGTTGGTATGTGGCGCTGAGGATCGAACCCGGGCCGCACGCATGCCAGGCGAGCGCACTACCGCTTGAGCCACATCCCCAGCCCATCCTCTGGCCATCTTGCAGCAAAAATGAAGGTTACTATGAACTGCAAATGAACTATATATCTTGCAACAAAAAATAAAAACTTCATACAAATGACTGATGATTCACATGATGACTACCTAGGTCCCAGGACTACCCAGAAGAGCCAATTAGTGGTGCTGAACTTAAAAAGCTTTGAAGGCAGAAATATCTGGACCAAAATTTCTCAGTTCATTGCTAAATACTTGGATTTTTGTAAACCTTTCTGGATTTGGGTTTATTACTATAAAATTCACCTTGTAGGGAAGAAGAGAAAGTGTCAATGGAGACAGTGTATGTAAAGTGCCTGGACCAGCACAGCTGTGTCAACATC